TACTGTAATCAACGGCCAACTCTGGATACATTTAAATAAGTAATAGTCCTTCAGTTAAAGTTGAAAATGTAAAACTGAAATAGATGTGAATTTATGAGATTTTTATATGTTGTGCATCTAACTTTTTTTCCCCAACAATATAACTTTGATCATGTTAAAACTGTGCATGTGTGTGATTTTAGTTTTAAAAATCCTTCCTTTTTTCACTAAAGCTCCACTAATAGTCTATTAGCAACGGTCTTGAATCATCCGTAGTGATGTTGATGATCCGAAGATATTACTGGAGTGATTGCACAATATTACTAAAATTTAAAGTTTTAGGGAAAGAAGATGCAAAATGACTGATTTAAGATTTAGAGCATTTCTTAATCTTCATCAACAAAGCTAGTTAACCATTTATCAGTAGTAACTACAATCTAAGGCTAAAATTCACACCCTATTTTTAAATACTTTTAACTTTAAAATGTACCTACGTGTTAGTGACTTTAAAGAAAAATACTGAGTCTCCACAAGGTGTAATCAATTTACACGGACAGGTAAAAAAATTGCATTACATAAAAGTATATATTTGAACAACTCAAGCTAAAATAATACTCATCAAGAGTAAGTTTTTGCGTTTGTTAAGCATAGTTTTAAATAATCTCCTTCCCAATCAACAATACGTAGAAGAACATTTCATTTCCTTAATTCATTCCTCCAACTAGTACAATCCTCAAGTATAAAATACAATTTCTCTTAAGTCTCTGTAGATCCACGTTACGTGGATAGAAAAACCGTGATTCAATTAGCTCGATAGCAAGCCCACGAATAGCCTTTCATTGGAGATATTTTGAGTTTGTGCTGCAGACTGAGAAGCGAACAATGTATGAATCAACCAGTCATCACCAGGAATAAAATTAAAGCCACGTTTTTGGAAAGTGGGTGCTCTACCCAACTATCTATCCAAGCCTAATACTATACATGACGGAATTTTTAAACTCTTATAAAATTAAAGCTTATTGTCCATTGATCAAGCCGCAATTATTTAGAATACAATCATCAGCAACTTAGTATACTATTATTTACAGCATATAATCAATTAACGACATTTATATAAAATCAGAATTGTGGTAAACATTAAAATGAGTTTTGAAACATAAAAAATGTACATAAAAACATAAAAAATGAAACCACATATTCCCAAATCACACATGACTCTGAGAGTGCTCATGGTGACTGTTTTTATTCGTAACAGCATCTGCACTGATAAATGGCAAAAAGTCAAGAAGTAATTAAGACCGACTCTGATTACTTTCCCTGTCTTCTACTTACATACGTGCTATTATTTTTTAAAGAAACAAATGATTTATTTAGATTTTGCTAATTGTTTTAGTTTTAATTAAGTAATTAATAACAACATCATTAATAACAAAAAAAGATATTAAGTTAAAAAATACTCTGAAAACTATTATTTTTTATAAATATTTAAATTCCATATTTTTTTACTGTTGAATGAATACCTTTTTTTCATAACATGAAGAAAATCTTGAAGAGAAGATATTATGTTCTTGATGCTAAATAATCGAAGCAGCTTTGTTACTAAATCTAAAATAACTATGTTACGAATCCGAATTCGTCTGTAAAAAGAATGTTTATGCAGGTGAAGTATGATTTTTGTGTCTGATTTCATAACTTAAAATATAGTCTGATATAATTAAATAGTATACTTCTGATCACGCCCTCGAGCACTTAACATTAGGTTGTAAATATTTGACCATTAGATCAAACGTTATTCAAAATGTTCCATTTTTTTTTGAGCACTACAGATTATATGATTCGTTTAATTAACAGTTTTTTAGTATGTATTACTCTCATTATTAGTGAACAAATTATTTTTGATTGAACTATTATTTTAAACTTTATTTTGATTGAGAGTAAAAAGGAAGATTTTGTTTAAATTGATTGGTAAATTATAAAACTGTTATCGTATTTATTTAAAGGACCTTTTTGTGGAGTTTTGGGAGAAAAATTCAGTCCTGAGAACATAACATTATATGGGACAATCATTGCTGCTATTGGATTTGGAGCATGTTTCTTTGCACACAATATTATCACTTTGTCCATATATTTAGGATTAATATTTGGTGAGAAATATTTATTTATTCTGGAAGTAAATTGTATTGATTTTTTTAAAATTTTATAATATATGCGAAAGTTATGAATAGCATAAGACTGAGAACATTCTCGGAATAAACGATGGAAAGTTTTGACGCTGAAGGAGTTTTAAAACAGAACTTTTTTTACATACCTCTAATGGCAGATTAGCAGACAACTGTAGGCAGAAAAACAAGCAATAAAATTAGAATGAGAAACAGCGATAACAGTAACTAAACTGAAACAACAGTAAGTTTATAAATCGTTCATCTTGTGCCGGGCTCTCCAGTATTTCTCCCACAAGTGTTCTGAGTCCAGTGTAAGGCAATAGCTCAATCGGTTCGTGTCCATCATTTCTTCACGAATGCTGCACAGTTGGCAGAGAGAACTTGATAGGATTTTCATTAACTCTAAATGCTTGGAGAGGCAATCGTGGGTAGTAGCGAGGAGAAAAGTAGGAACTGATTAGTCAACGGAATATTTGGGATTTCCTCTATCCATTTCTTGTCTTTATTTGCCTCCCTTATATTACACCAAAAGTTCCCTCCAATCGATTTTTTAATTAAGCGCTTGACGGTAAGAAAAGGAATTGGTTTATTCGTTATTTGAGATATTTTGGTTGCCATCTTTGCTAGGAAATAAGCTGTTTCATTTCCCTGGAGTTCACATGCGCTGGCACCCATTGAAATGCAACTTCTTTATGACTTTCAATTATATCAAGTCTAACCAAATATTTAAAATACAGTTGACATCGGAGTCTCAGATGAAGCAATGGTCAGGAGGTCATAATAGTATGACGGCCCTTGAAAAATTTCAATTTGACATTGTAGCTATGACAAGGCGATTTGAATTGCAGAGATATTCGCATCATAAAGCTGCTTTATATCTTCCGACAGGAGTGTAAAATAAGAATAGCCTACAGAACAACCCAGAGTCAGTATTTATACAGTCAGTCACCATGGAGCCACCTGTAGACACGTGCATGCAGCCATTCATTATCTGGGTACAGTTCATAGATAATCTCTAAAGCTGCAGGTTTTAGTATTAAGTTATTAATTTCTTTCTTAAGAACCTCATTTAACAGGTTTGTTCTAACCACGTACTTTCTTCCTTCACTCGGACATTGTGACTTGATGAGATTATCCTTTCTCCAGTCCAATCCTATTTGTTCTTTTGTTTCGATAGCTCTCAGAAGGAAACCATTTCGGATATTAAGATTCCAAGTAGAGGATAACAAAGGATTATTTCAAAAGGGAAGACAATTTAGTAGTCTTGCAAACGTTTCCCATAAAATTAGTGCTCTCTCTTCTATAACTGATTTAATGTTAAAATCTTGGATGATTATCAAAAGAGCATCAATCGGGATTGTATTAACGGCTCCCGTAATAAGCCAAAGGGCTTGGTTTTGAAATCTTTCTAGAGAATCAATATCCTTTTCACTTGGTGACACCAGATGTTCGGAACAGTAAGTGAATAGTGGCAAAATGTAGGAATTAAAAGTCAAGTCCAGGGTTGTTCTACAGCATCCCCACTTAAAGCCATCAATTCTTTTCATTAAAGTAAACCTCTTAGATTCCAATATGTCTTCAACGTGTTCTTTCCACTTCAGTAAAAAATAACACCCAGATAAGAGAAGTAGTTGGTCTGAAGAACGGAGAAGTTTTAGCAAAGTAAGTTCAGCTTGATAGGTTGATGCGTGAGATTTGATATACAGTTTTCGCCAAATTTATTTCCATATCATTGACACGACACCCGTCACTTAATTTAATTAGAGCCTGATTAAAGGTAGTTATAGATAGTAGTTTAGCTTGTTTTTGGGGATTTTCGGTCCACACAACCAAATTGTCTGCATAAAGTAGAGATTTGACAGTACTAATCTTCAGCAGCTCAGCAATAAGATTGTTTATATATATTGCATGTGAAAAAGTAGACACTTAGTTTCGGAGCCCTGAGGTAGTCCAATTTTAAGGTTATTAAAATGTGAAAAGATGTTCATGAAGTATACTCTACATATACGCTGACCAAGAAAACTTCTGTACCATTGAAACTTATTCGATTGGATACCAATATTATACTTTTTCAACAAAAGACTTTCCCTGAAAATTATGTCATATTCAGATTTTAGATCTACGAAAGCAGCTGAGAGTGTGTGTTATTGTCCAAAGCAACCCTTTACCATCTTGCTGAGAGGAGCAACATGTTGGTTGGTTGATCTAAACTGCCTAAAGCCTGCTTGTCAGCACTCATTTGAGAATCGTTGATTCTTCTCTTTGCCAAGAAGTCTGCTCTTTTATTTCCCTGACGAACATATTGTGATATTACCCAATGGATGGCAATTTCTTTTTCGTTTAGAGTAAAGATGCTTTGTAACTGGCAACATTTGAAAACAGTAACAGATTCAGATGAAGAAATATCTTCAAGGGGCGCTTTAGAGTTATATCATGTTTCTATTATTATTATTATTATTAGCATTATTTATTTTTAAATTTTATTTAATGATTTTAGCAGTTACTCAAAGTACCACTATATAGAGTAGGGGTTCTCAAACATAGGGCTTTCAATTCAATCTAATTAAACAACATAGAAGGCATCCTGTTCTCATTATCTTATTTCATTTTTTCAAAGTGCCTTAAATTCCTTTGAAAACATTTTTACGACAATAAAAAACGAGTTTTGATCTTTTTTTTTTTAAACGTCAATGTTTTTTTTTATTTATTTCCAATAGCAAGGCAATACAAGGAAATAATTAAAACAACAAATTCAGAGTATAACAGTTGGCATAAAATAAATTGACCGAAGTCATTGCCATCATTAAAAGTTCAGTCATCATTAAAGGTTCTCTTGCTCGCCAATACAGTGCCGTCTCAGAGTCGCCATGGAGTGATGAGCAACAGTGGAGATGGTCTCTATTCATAGGCTCTGCCAAATTACATCGGCAGTTTAGATGGTGAAAAATCCCAATGCGATGAAGATTATTCCAAAGCGTCAAAGATATTTGAACGTCAATGTTGAGTAAGAATAAATTTCATTTAAGAAGTATCAAGAAACCAATACAAATTTTTTTAATCAAAATTTTTGCTACTAATTTACTTTAGAATGTAATACCTTATGTGTTTTGATAAATATTTTTGTTATAACTTTTTTAGTTATTAAAATTAAGTTCCTTTCTAAAATATTTAATTGAAATACAGATATGCTTATTATTATAATTACATAATTTGTATTTCGTTACAGGTATAGGTATGACAGGAAGTAATACATTTCTTCCAACCATAGTAAAGAAATATTTCAACAAAAATATTAACTCAGCAAATGGAATTTCTCAAGCTGGATCGTGTTTGGGAGCAATTCTTGTTCCACCCCTTGCTGTATTCCTTCTGGAAAAATATGGTTTACCTGGAACGTTTTTAATTGTATCAGCACTTATGCTTCATGCGGTGCCAATCAGCATGCTCATCCAAAAAGCAGGTTTAGTACAAGATAAAATCATTGAAACCATGAAGAGGAATAACGAGCTTGTCCATCAAGAGAAGTTACGTGAAAAAAATCAAAAATCTCCCCTTGACTCGAATAATAGTACTTCGGAGAAAATATCTATAAACAATCAAACATCTCTTTCTGACTCAGCTAACAAAATAACAGAGATGAGAGTAAACAATCAGAAATCTCTTCCTGATTCAGCAGAGGATATTAATACATTAGAGCAGATTCCTATAAACAATTATAAACTTCTCCCTGATTCAGAAGATAATAATGTATCAGAGCAGCTTTCTATAAACAATCAGACACTTCTTCCACATTTTGTTACTAAGATATCAGAGCCGTCTAGATTAGAACTTGAAAAGGGAAAGTTAGACGATACCATTACAGTTTTTAAAGGTACCAAAGCTGATAATAAAACTAATGATTGTGATCTAAGTAAAGAACAACCCGATGGTATTAAAGATAATGATAGTTTGGATACTTCTAAACTCTCTCTACAGTCTCACGTGTACAATCAATCAGCTTCTGAAAAAAGTTGCTCAAGTATCAGCAATGTAGGCAATGAGAATCGTGAGACTAATACATTAAATCATGGCGCTGAAATCTCAGATATATTGGAAATAAATGAAGCTATTCTACAGCCTCAAGATTGCAGTGATGATTCTGATAGCGACGATGCTGTCAAAACAAGCCTCCTTCCAGAAATGAAGACGGTTTCGTACATACATTCCGATTTAGAAAATGATCCAAAACTACCTGATATGACACAATATAAACAAATGATTACAACTTGCGTGGTTGCACCGATAGAGAATAATCCAGAAGTGTCAGCGATTTCAAACAGGTCACACAATCCAAAACCACACAAAAAAAGTAAATTTGCATTTCTTAAAGTGTTTCTGAACCTCCCCTTTTTAATTATAATGTTTTGCACTGGTATACATAATTATGTGACAGTTCTAGTGACGACGACAATGATTGATTACTCACGAGACAAAGGAATACCACGATATAATGAAGTCTATTTTTTAATGATGCATCCATTTGTTGAAATCATTGGCCGTGTCAGCTTCGGTTGGGTGACAGACTTAGGGTATTTAACATTATCTAATTACTCAGTGATATGTTTTAGTCTTATGGGTCTTACATGTAGTTGTATTTTGTGGTCTGCAGACTTTTGGGTGATGATGTTGGGAGCATTGACTTTTGCTATATCGTGTGGTGCCTTGACTGCTATATTTCCAGGCATGGTATTTAGTTGTGTTCCCGAGGAGATGCAGTCGATGGCTATAGCTTCAAGATATGCATTAAGTGGACCTCTAATCTTCACGTCTGCTCCATTAATAGGTAAAATAGACATATGTTACTTTCCATATAGCAATACTTAAATTTATCTATCTAAAAAAATTCATCTATCAGAAAAATTATAATAATAGAGAAATAGCAAAGACAATATTCTTGTTTTTCTTTTTTTAATATTACACTTATACGATTTTTTTCGCAAAGCCATTTTCAGAAAGGTAGTTTAGAATTATTCAAAAAACTATCCGAAATTACTAGCCATATACGTTTACTGCTTTAAATTCAAAAATTTTTTTTTAGTTCTAACAGATGTCAAGTCCTATTCAATCCAATCTAGTATAGCGAAGCCTTGATCTCCTACCTTTTTTCAAAACTATTAAAGTGTAGAATGGCTATATATTTTCAAAAAAAACTCTTAACAAAATAAACAACGAAAAAAATTAATTCAAAAATTCTACACGGAATCCGAGACAGTGAAGAAAAAAAGAAATGTCCTTCTTTTATTTTAAGGAGAATATGTGTATTACCTGCGTCGTAATATCATAAGGATGTCACCTTAACTACATTGCTAGTCAAGAAGAGCATGCAAGGTGAAGAAAATTTTAAACTAACAGTAAAAATTAGCCATTGCTGTTATGCGCCAGGGGTGGCCAAGCTCCTTAATAGTCGAGCCATTTTTCAAATTTTGAAATTTTTCGAGAGCCGCAATTAAATACGTATTTAAAAGGTATGAAAAAAAATTTTTTTACAGAAATTATATTTGTTGAAAACATATAAATAAAAGTACAAAATATGTGCAGTGAATTTAAATATTAAAAATTAAACTCATTTATTTTACTTCCTTTTGATAACTCTTAAAAATTTGGAGAATAATTGGTGACAGCACTTCTCAGTAATTCTTTTAGATGCTGGTTAGTTATTACTGATAGGTGTTTGGATTTCACGAATAAAATTTGGAAAAAAAATGATTCACATAAGTACGTTGTTCCGAATATTGAAATAATTCGACAAGCAGCCTTTTTTAATTCAGGATACTTCGATTCTGATATAAATTCACAAAATTCAGTGATCGACGTCGACTTATATTTTAATTGTAGAGCTTGATTTTCTTGCATCTCTAGTAATTCTAATTCTCCAGATGCTTTATGGGACATAATTATATTAGAAATGGAAAACTCGCCTTGAATTATGTTAATTTCAAATGGATTCAGAAAAAAATCAAGAGACGATTTAAAATATTTGAAGTCTTGAAATCTATTTTGGAATTCCGTCAATATTTCTTTTAGCTTTTTTATATACTCGTTGAGTTTTTCTTGTTTAATATTGGAGAAAAAAAAATTTTAATTCGAGGAAAATTACAAATTGTTTAATTTTTAATGTCCTTTTGAAAAAATTGTAATTTAGTATGAAAACTACATATACAATGTGAGATATTATTTTATCTTTCCCCTGCAATTGTAAATTCAGTGTTTGCAAATGTTCCATGACATCAGTTAAAAACATTGACTTGAAACCTCTCGTCATCGTCTAATTCTGAATAGGTTATTTCTTTCTCTTTTAGAAATGCAGTTATCGGATCAAACAAATCTACAAAACAATTTAATACGTTAGCTAGATAACCATCTAATAATGCAAAGGAAATTTAATGTCTTTTGTAAGTTCTTCGTCCTTTAATTCCTTAAAGAAATATTTGAATTGTCGATGACTTTTTTGCATTGAGGTGAATGTAATTTACAATGTGTAACACTGTTTTGATAACATCAGGATATTTTAAATATTTTGTAACGAGATGTTCTCGGTGAATTATGCAGTGAATCGGTATGAATTGTGGAATTTGAGAATCATCTCTTAAAAACCCAATAAAACCAATTTTTTTACCCAGTATTGCCTTAGCTCCATAAGTTCTAGTGCTTACAAGTTTATTAAAAGGTACATCAAAAATTTTCATTATGGAATCAAATGCATTTTTAATATCGACACGGCGGGTTGACTTTTGCAGTGCTACTAAATTTAATAATTCTTCTTTAACAACGAAGTGAGGTGAAACAAAACGTATGAAAACTGCCAATTGCAAAAGATCTGTGATATTGGTCGATTCGTCAAGGAACGGTAATAATTTTTTTAAAAATATAAAGCACAAAAATGAAAAGGGAACATTTATCGAGAGCCACAAATAATCCTTCAAAGAGCCGCATGTGGCTCGCGAGCCGCAGGTTGGCCACCCCTGTTATATGCTGACTGCATAAAACAAAATTATCGTATGTCCAAACTTAAATTTAAAGAATTTAAAAGCCAGCTGTTAAAATACATGCAAGTAGTTTTTTACTAACAATATTTGAACAGCACATATTATTAAAAAATTTAATGGAAATTTTAAATAATTATCAGGTAAACATATTTTATCACTTGGGTACATGCAACTCTAGAAAAAGTGAAATGTCCAACCATGTAATTTAAATGTCAAATGTAATTAGATACCTGTAAGCAAAGTCACGCATGCATATCAAACCAGAATGGCTTATTAATCAACTAACGCCACGATTAACTTACGATGACATCACTTGCAGGCATCCAATTAATTGTTTTGGTTGAGACTAATAATACGAATTTAATTTAATACAAATATAATAATCTTCATTTGTTTCAAAACTTTCTGTAAACATTGTATAATAGTATTAAAATATTTATCACTGTCCTCATGTTGAATAATGAAGTCATATAAATGAAACTTAATTTATTTTCAGGATTTTTCAGAGAAACTCGTGGATCATATGATGGAATTTACATCTTGTTAATAGCTTTGTGCATGTTGTGCGCAGTTGCAATGCCTTTGTTGCACAGATTTTCCCAACGTGGCAAAAAAGTAGAGACATGAGGATGATTTTGAAACTGGAGAACATATAATAAAAATATTTGAACATACTATTTTTACCAGGTGATAATGATCAGAGATTTATACGTGTACTCTATAACTGTCAGACGGTAAAATGTCAGACCATTTTCTTGGAAAGCAGGTCTTTCCCCTAATAATAGCATTTTAATGGAAATATTTCAAACATTTTATTGAAAAGAGAAAGAGACGCACAGTTTTCTTGTTAAAGTGATGGAGAAATTGCTCATGTACTAAAGCAATAAACAAACAGTAAGCAATTTTTTTTTAATTACAGTCCATGGCCGTATTATTAGACACACTATAAGATTCTATATAAAATCTTAATTATCAAGTGATACTATACAGCTTTAATGTTTTTAAGCGACTGTAAACGGTTTGCACTTATTTATGTTTGTGTATCAATTGTTTACAGTCGACGATATATAATATAAATTTAACGATAGGTTAAATTAGACGATATATTATATAAATATAGAATATATTATATCAGGTATTATATTTATAAATTATAATAATTAGACTGTCTGTGACTTTTTAATAAATACATGTTTTACACGAGTTTATATGCAATACTTTTATATTCAAACATACATGTAATTGGCTTTTATTCAGGAGATTTTTTATATACTTCCGATTTTTATTTATTTTTAACGTATTGTATTACCATGTTAACCAATTGATACACGAAAGTAAACAAGTGCAAGCCGTTTTCAGTCACGTAAAAATAATAAAGCTGTATAGACTCACCTGATGATTAATATTTTACATTGTTATGGAATCTTATGGTGCGTCGAATATTTCGGCCAGGAGCTGTATTTAATTTCATGATATCTGTATGATTTTGTATTATTTTATTCATTGACTCAAACCATTGTATGTATTGTTTTTATTTAATGCTACATCATTTTTTTATAAATCTATAAAATAAAGTATTTAGAATGATTTGCTTTAATTCGGTGTCATTTGCAAATCTTTTATTTTTTAGAATACTTATGCTTTCTAAACATCCACATAGTTTTGTTAAATATTGCATTGCATAAAAACAATAGTGTTATAAACATTAAAGAAATTAGTTTAAAAATATAAGACAAAGGTTTCGTCATACAATGTATTCTGCAGAAATAAGTTAACTATCCGACTGCAAAGATACTAGTTCATTCCTTCTACAGTGATCAATCAAAAAATTTTGAATTGCATTCAAAACATTTTATGTAAATTTTCACATTGTTTTCAAAGAATGTAATTTCAAATGTCAAAATACAATATTTGAAGGAAATCGGACGAATAGTTCGTGGGAAATAAAATTTCAAATATACTACTTTTTTAAGAACTTCACTGTGATGGTAAAAGCTTTTCTATTAGAATAATGGTAACCGTCCAAATAATGTTTTTAAACAAATTTATGTGTTTGGCAACATAAATATCAAAGCATTAAATTAAATTATTTAATCTTTTTTTAGCTTTAACTAAGTTATTCAAAAAACTTTATTTATGCGATATTTTCAAACGTTAGAGGAAAGATAACAATTTTTAATGATAGTTTAAAACATAAGCTCTTTTTTTAAAATAAAATATATAAAAACATTTTTTTTAGTATAAATTCAACATTTGAATCGCCGCTTTAGAATAAATTGTTTGTCCTTCACAGGCCTACAACTAAATCATTTTTACGATCTAATGCAATGTGAGCCTTGAAAAAACACTTTTATTTTATCAAGATCACAAGTTTGAACTCGTTTTAATAACACCAATTACAAAACATTCTTTTTCATATCGTGTGAACAGATTCAATGGTAAGTGTTTTCTTTTTCTTTCTTTTTACATTGTTTTTTCAAGAAAGTTTGACGAATGGTAACCATTTTTGTATTTGAAATTTCATATCAAACCATTATCTATTATTTAAATTAGCTCAGCCGAAAATCCATAGAAAGTTTAATCTTATCAACTGATGTAAAGCGATAGTTAAAAACTTTACAAGCCCTTAGTTGTTGTTGAATGTTAAAAGTGACATAATATGATTTTCAAAATAAAATTCTTGCTTTTGAGTTTCAAGGAAATATTAAAGCGATACTTAATTGAAAAGTATAAACAATTAAAGCTCGTTGAAAAATGTTTACATTTAAGCCAGGCAAATATTTATTTATTTTATTTCAGTTCGTGTTTATCAGTTCATTATTATTATGGTATTTGCTTACATGAACTAAAGGTATTAGTTAGCTACTATCGTAAACTGTAAAAGTGAGAGAACTTATACTTTTTGGAGTTTAATTTTTTTTTTTTACAGATTCTTTAATTACTGGATGAATTTCAGTAAAACAATATTAGCAAAATTATTTGGACATTGTATTCTAGTTTTAGTGGGCTTGATTCTTGTATTTACAAATTACTGGATGAATTTCAGTAAAACAATATTAGCAAAATTATTTGGACATTGTATTCTAGTTTTAGTGGGCTTGATTCTTGTATTTACAAATCGTCAATGCTAAACGCTTAAATACAGACGTTTCTAAAAGAAATTCTTTATGAAAGAGAAGTTTTCTATGTGAAATATCCATAGTTCCATTTTTTAGCTATTCAGTACTTTTCTTTGACTCTACAAGGTTTTGATCGATCGCTTGTGCTCACTTGCCAACAGTGTGAGAGTAGATGGATGTGAATCTGGATCATTTTTTTCCAACCTGCATGTTCGAAAGCTCTGTTACAAACAACTCCGTCTTCATGCAAAAACAATTAAGTTTTTACAGCCTTTTTCTTCAACTTATTTGTCTAAAATTACATTTTTAGTTATGATTGTCTTAAAAGCAAAACATCAAATTCGACATAATCTTCTGCCAGCTTTGCTGTAACTGATTTGACCCCTAAAATTGACATGATAGTTACCAACAAACAACAACAGCAATCATGTTCTGTTCAGTTTTTTTTAATATTTATTATTTTTTTCATATTTATTTTATATTTTCTTGTATTCTTTTGCTACCAACTCACGGTGATATAATTTTGTTTCACTATTTTGTTACTGAAACAGAAAAATTAGAATTAGAATTAATATAAATGTTACTTATATTTAAGTAGGTTTAGGCTTAAAATATTTGTCATTGCAGAGAGTATGTGAATGATCAGAAACATACTAATCAAAAGATTGCTTTAGTGCCAAATTCTTGTTTTTGTAAAAATGAGGCCAATAGTCCAAATTTCTAACCGCACATGTACTGGATAAAGTACTGAAATATTTTACTGGTATTTCGAATGAATCGAGTTGAGAAACACTGATCTAAATAGCGGATATAACTCACATAATTTCTCCAAAGAAATACTCAATAGGATTGAGATAGGAATAAAACAGAAGGCCATTATAACAGAGTGGAGTCTCTATAATGCACCTGAAACAGTTCTTTACAATGCTGGGATTATGGTAAGTCATATTATCTAGTGTAAACTATCCCTAACGTTTGAAATAAATCATCATTCTTAATGATGTACTTGGTTTAGATCCGTGATGGCTCAGGTAGCAGAGCGTGCACCTTCCAATGAGGTGAAACGGCTTCGAATCTCCGCAATGGCTGGTGGATACGAATTCCGCATCTGGCTTACACCAACCACAGTGCTGACGTAAAATATCCTAAGTGGTAGACGGATCATGAGTTACACAGGCTAACCGTGGGAGGTTTAATTTATTTTCCTCTCCATGTGACGCAAATGTGGGTTTGTTCAATCTAGAAGTCCTCCATGGAGGCAAATTTCTCTCAATACTTGATCCATGGTTTGAATTTCCCCTTGTTTGTAGATGTTTCTTAACGGCTGCCTGGCTGTAACTCTTCTATTTGAAATTGTATTTGTTTTCATTGGCTTTGTGCAAATTGTAGCATTTTTCATCATCACAATATGTTTGCTAGCTTTATTCAATCTCTTTTCTGTTTTTATTGTTCTTTGTTTGATGCCTCGCCTGTTACGTCTGGACACTCAAACTCCTAATGTTACTTTACTGAGTAATTACTTTTTATTTTATAACCGTCGTTGAACAGCCGACCCAATTTTATGAAATAAAATCGCCAAATAGTGTAAAATAATGAATGGCACAACGAGACATAGCGTTGAAAAAATCATTCATTTAGAATTTATTTTTATCTTCGATTTAAAAGAAAATTAAAGTAACACAAAAAAAAATTTGCGATTGCTTACTTAAATTCTAAATTCATTAAAAAAAATCCTGCCTACTTTCCTCTATTATGGAACATTGACTTGAAACTTAAATTAAAATTTCGCATAAAAAACTTTTGACCATAAAGAAAGTTGATCAAAAAATATATGACTAAAAAATAAAACCTATAAATATATTTTTCGACCAAACAATATTTTTTTAGATTATAACCTTCGTTGAACAACCGACCCAATTTCTGGGTTTACGACTACTAATGTTCAACTCCGTAGCCTTGTAATTTTGAACCCTATCCAGAGGACAGGGGAACTCCTGGATCGAATATTGGGAGAAATTCGGCTTCGTGGAGGACTTTTTGATGGAGCTAACCCGCATTTGCGTTACATGGAGAGGAAGACCACGAGAACCTCCCACGGTAAGTCTGACTGCGAGGGGACTCTAACCCATGATCCGTCTACCACTGAGGATATTTCACGTCAGCACTGTGGTCGTGGGTGCAAGACGGATGCGAAATTCGTATCGACAGGGATTCGAAACCGGCTCGCGTCACTGGAAGGCGAACGCTCTATCCCTTGAGCCATCGCGGCTCGTGTGACTACTTTTGTTAATTTTAAGGTTTCACAAATTCTGGTTTGGGGGAGGTAATCTTTGGATCTTGGTGAGGTTGATGGTCTGTGCGTGGCGCTTAGCCTACATCACCCAGGTTTTTCCCTGGAGTTGCATTTGCCATTATTCCGACGTGTTGCCATGAATTGTCTTCTAACCTACCTATGTGAATCCTCTTTTTTCTTGTTGAGCAGTTATGCGCGCGCATTTTAAGTCTACAGTATTCCTCGGATGCCTCCTGACTGGGACAGGACGGTGTTAAGCTTTGATTAGTAGTCGTAAATCCAAAAAATTGGGTCGGCTGTTCAACAACGGTTATAAAATAAAGTAACAATGTTTAATAATGGTTTCTTATTCAGACTTACCCCCTATGCACGAGAAACAGAAGTCTTATAGCTATACACTATTGCTCTAACCACAATACGTAAAGTTAATATTAAATAAAGAAAGATTTTTACTTTTTTTTTCATACACTTTTTTAAATGCATTTAAAAATAAATGTTTTTTTTAATTCTCGGTATAGACAACATAAAGATGAAATTTATAGGCTTTGAAAGTTACACGAGCTGGATAGTAACCATTGGAAGTTGCATCATCAACTGTACTTCTCAAACTCCATACAGAATAGCTGGATTGATGTATGTGTCGATTGCTGAGTACTACGACACAGACAGAGAAACAGCTTCACTTCCAATTCTGATTTATATCATTGTAAAATGTCTTGGAGGTACGTATAAATTAGTAAAATGATATTTCAATAAAAGTTAAAATGCCAAATAAAAAGCAAACTATATGTATAAAAGTATATATTTGAACAACTCAAGCTAAAATAATACACATCAAGAGTAATTTTTCCGTTTATTAAGAATAGTTTAATCAGAGAAACAAACAGAGAAAGAGCTTCAATTCCAATATTAATTGTATCATAGTAATTAGTAGTAACGCTCTTTCAATGAAAGATGAAAATGTAAAATTAAAGCATGCATGAATTTATGAGGTTAACTACGAGACAAACAAAAAATATCTTCCATACCAATATTGACTTTAGTCATTGTAAGATATCTTGAAGGGAAGGATAAATTAGTAGCAATGCTCTTTCAATGAAAGATGAAAATGTAAAATGAAACCATGCATGAATTTATGAGGTTAACAACAAAACAAACAAAAAATATCTTCAATACCAATATTAACTTTAGTCATTGTAAGATATCTTGAAGGGAAGGATTAATTAGTAGTAATGCTCTTTCAATGAAAGATGAAAATGTAAAATGAAACCATGCATGAATTTATGAGGTTAACAACAAAACAAACAAAAAATATCTTCAATACCAATATTTACTTTAGTCATTATAAGATATCTTGAAGGGAAGGAGAAATTAGTAGTAATGCTTTTTCAATGAAAGTTAAAAATTTAAAATTGAAGCATACTTAGATTTATGAGGTTGATTAAAGGACAAACAAAGAAACAGCTTAAATTGCAATTTTGTCTTGAGTAATTGTAAGATGTCTTGGAGATACGTCTAATTAAATAATAGTCTTTCAGTTGAAGTTGAAAATATAAAATTTTAATGTATGTGAATTTATGAGAATCTGTTTATATGTTGTGTATCGAACGTATTTTTCCAATACTATATCTTTGGAATGTGAAGCAATATTTTAATCTTAAAAATGTTTGTATTTTCACTAAAGCTACATTAATAGACCATTAGCAACGATCTATCATGAATCATGATTATGATGATGGTAATTCGAAGATATTACTGGAGTGCACACACAACACAACCAGAATTTAGATTTTTAGGGAAAGAAGTTCACATCCTACTTTTAAAATACATTTAATTTTAAAATGTAGCTACGTGTTAGTGGCTTTAATGAGAAATACTGAATCACCACAACGCGTAAACAATTTACACGGACAGGATAAAAAAACAAACTTTATCTATAAAAGTATATATTTGAACAACACAAGCTAAAATAATACACATCAAGAGTAATTTTTGCGTTTATTAGGAATACTTTTAAATACTCTCCTACCCCGTCAACAAAAAGTAGAGACTAATTGGAAAAAGAACACTTCATTTCATTAATTTTTTCCAACAACCAGAAAACAATCTTCAAATATAAAATACAATTTCTCTGCAGCTCGTGTAAGTAAGTCCACGTTATGTGGATAGAAAAACCATTAAACCTTGACTCAATAGTAAACCCATGAATCGCTTTCCATTGGAGATATTTTGAGTCTGTGCTGTAGACTGAGAGGTGACATTGCTGGAGATAGCTATTATTTTTTTTAAAGAAACAAATGATTTATCTAGATTCTGCTAATTGTTTTAGTTTTAATTTAATAATCAATAAAAAATCATTAAAAGCAAAAAATTTAAGTTGCAAAATATTATTAATTTTATTATTATTATTTTTATACAAATTATTATTTTTCTTTAAATATTTAAATTTCATATTTTTTCATTGTTGTTCGGATACCTTTTATTTCATATGTTCTTCTTAATGCTAAATAATCGAAGCAGCTCTGTTACTATATCTAAAATAACTATATTACTTCCGTCGAATCCGAAATCGTCGGTAAAAAGAAGATTAAGATTGATCGATTGAAGATTCTCTATAATGCACCTGAAACAGTTCTTTACAATGCTGGGAATACGGTAAGTCACATTATCTAGTGTAAACTATCCCTAACGTTTGAAATAAATCATCATTCTTAAATGATGTACTTGGTCAATAACAATGTTTAGATCCGTGATGGCTCAGAAGATAGAGCGTGCACCTTCCAATGAGGTGAAACGGCTTCGAATCTCAGCAACGGCTGATGGATACGAATTCCGCATCTGGCTTACACCGACCACAGTGCTGACGTAAAATATCCTAAGTGGTAGACGGATCATGAGTTACACAGGCTAACCGTGGGAGGTTTAAGTGATTTTCCTCTGCATGTGACCCAAATGCGGGTTTGTTCAATCAAAAAGTCCTCCATGGAGGCAAATTTCTCTCAATACTTGATCCATGTTTTGAATTTCCCCTTGTTTGTAGATGTTTCTTAACGGCTGCCTNAAGTTGCAAAATACCCCATGAATTATTAATTTTCTTTAAATATTTAAATTTCATATTTTTTTATTGTTGTTTGGATACCTTTTTTTTTTCACATGTTCTTCTTAGTGCTAAATAATCGAAGCAGCTCTGTTACTATATCTAAAATAGCTATATTACTTCCGTCGAATCCGAAATCGTCGGTAAAAAGAAGATTAAGTTGTAAGATTAAGATCGTCGGTAAGATTAAGTTGTAAATATTCGACCATTGGATCCAACGTTATTCAAGATGTTCCATTTTTTTATTTTGCGCACTGCTCGTTATTCGTTTAATTAACAATGTTTTAGTATGCAAAACTCTCATTATTAGTGAACAAATTATTTTTGATTGAATTCTTAAGATTAAAAAGTAAGATTTTGTTTAAATTGATAAGTGAATTATAAAACTGATATCGTATTTATTTAAAGGGCCTTTTTGTGGAGCTTTGGGTGAAACACTCAGTCCTGAGAACATAACAATATATGGGACAATCATTGCTTTCATTGGATTTGGAGTATGTTTCTTTGCACACAATATTATCAGTTTGTGCATATATTTAGGCTTAATATATGGTAAGAAAATATTTATTTTTACTGAGAGTAAAATGTATTGCGAGTAAATGATTTTTTTTAAATTTAATATTTTTACTAAATTAAAAAAGTTATTTACTCGTAATTCAAATTTTTAATCACATTTACATTTTTTAAATTTAAAAATTTTTAATGACATATATGCGAAAGTTATGAATACAAGACTGTGAACATTTGCGAAATAAACGCTGAAAAGTTTTGACGCTGAGGGAGTTTTAAAAATAGAATTTTTTCTTATATATCTCTAGTGGCAGATTAGAAAACTACTGTTGACAGAAAAACAAACAATAAAATTAGAATAAGAAACAGTGATAACAGTAACTCAACTGAAACTACAGTAAGTTTATAAATCTTTCATTTTGAGCCGGGCTCTCCAATATTTCTCCCACAAGTGTCCTGAGTCCAGTGTAAGGCAATGGCTCAATCGGTTCGTGTTTATTTCTTCACGAATGTTGCAGAATTGACAGAGAGGACTTGATAGGGTTTTCATTAACTCTAAATACTTGGAGAGGCAATCGTGGGTAGTAGCGAGGAGAAAAGTAGGAACTGATTAGGCTACGGAATATTTGGGATTTCCTCTATCCATTTCTTGTCTTTATTTGCCTCCCTTATATTACACCAAAAGTTCTCCCCAATATATTTTTTTAATAACCGATTGACAGTATGAAAAGGAATTTGTCTATTTGCTATTTGAGCAATTTTAGTTGCCGTCTTTACCAGGAAATCAGGTGTTTCATTTCCCTGTAGCCCACAATGCGTTGAAAACTACTTAAATGCAACTTCTTTATGGTTTACAATTTTATCAAGGCTAAACAAATACTTAAAATACCAGTTGACATCGGAGCTTCAGATGAAGCAAAGGTCAGGAGGGCAGTCCTAGAATCTAATAGTATGACGGCCTTTGAAAATTTTTAATTTGACATTGTAACTATGACAAGGCGATTTGAATTGCCGAAATCTCCGCATCATAAGCTGCTTTTTATATCTTTCGACATGAGTGTAAAATAAGAGTAGCCTATAGGAGAACCCAGAGCCAGCGTTAACGCAGTCATTCGCCATGGAGCCATCTGCAAACACGTGCATGCAGCCATTCATTATTTGGGTGCAGTTCATGGATAGTCTTTAAATCTGCAGCTTTTATTATTAAGTTATTAATTTCTTTCTTAAGAACCTCATTTGACAGGTTTGTTCTAACCACATTCTTTCTTCCTTCACTCTGACATTGTGACTTGATGAGATTATCGTTTTTCCAGTTCAATCCTATTTGTTCTTTTGTTTCGATAACTTTCAGAAGGAAATCATTTTACATTTTAAGATTCCAAGTAGATGATAACAAAGGATTATTCCAAAAGGGAAGACAGTCTAGTAGTCTTACAAACTTTTCCCATAAAATTAGTGCCCTCTCTTCTATAACTAATTTAATGTTAAAATCTTGGGTGATTATCAAAAGCGCGTCAATCGGGATTGTTTTAACGGCTCCCGTAATAAGCCGAAGGGCTTTGTTTTGAAATCTTTCTAGAGAATCAATATCCTTTTCACTTGGTGACACCAGATGTTCGGAACAGTAAGTGAGTAGTGGCAAAATGTAGGAATTAAAAGTTAAGTTCACGGTTGTTCTGCAGAATCCCCACTTAGAGCCAGAAATTATTTTCATTAAAGAAAGCCTCTTAGATTCCAAAATGTCTCCAAAGTGTTTTTTCCACGTCAGTCAAAAATAACACCCAGATCTGAGAAGTAGTTGGTCTGAAGAACAGAGAAGTTTTGGTAAAGTAAGTTCAGCTTGATCGGTTGATGCGTGAGGTTTGATATACAGTTTGCGCTAAATTTATTTCCATATCGTTGACCTGACACCAATCACTTAATTTAATTACAGCCTGATTAAAAGTAGTTATATATAGTAGTTTAGCTTGTTTCTTAGGATTTTCGGTCCAGACAACCAAATTGTCTGTATAAAGTAGAGATTTGACATTATTAATCTTCAGCAGCTCAGCAATAAGATTGTTTATATATATTGCATGTGAAAATGTAGACACTTAGTTTCGGAGCCCTGAGGTAGTCCAATTTTAAGGTTATTAAAATGTGAAAAGATGTTCATGAAGTATACTGTACATATACGCTGACCAAGAAAACTTCTGTACCATTGAAACTTATTCGATTGGATACCAATATTATACTTTTTCAACAAAAGACTTTCCCTGAAAATTATGTCATACTCAGATTTTAGATCTACGAAAGCAGCTGAGAGTGTGTGTTATTGTCCAATGCATCTCTTTACCATCTTGCTGAAAGGAGCAACATGTTGGTTGGTCGATCTAAACTGCCTAAAGCCTGCTTGTAAGCACTCATTTGACAATCGTTGATTCTTCTCTCTGCCAAGAAGTCTGCTCTTTCATTTTCCTGAAGAACATATTGTGATGGTACCAAATACATGGCATTTTCTTTTTCGTTTAGAGTACTTTGTAACTAGCAACATTTGAAAACATTAACAGATTCAGATGAAGAAATATCTTCAAGGGCCGCTTTAGAGTTATATCATGTTTCTATTATCATTATTATTAGCACTATTTATTTTTAAATTTTATTTAATGATTTAAGCATTCAAGTTACTCAAATTGCCACTATATAGAGTAGGGGTTCTGAAACATAGGGGAATTTTATAGTATCAAGGGGAAATGGAGACAAACATTTGCTTAATTCTGAAGTATTTTGTACACTTTCAATTCACTTTAATTAAGCAACATAGGGGGCATTCTGTTCTCATTATCTTAATTCCTTTTTTCTAAGTGCCTCAAATTCCTTTGAATTTTTTTTTTATTTAATAATATTGTACGACAATAAAGAACGTGTTCTGATCATTTTTTAAACGTCATTGTTTTTTTTTTATTCATTTCCAATGGCAAGGCAATGCAAAGAAATAATTAAAACAACAAAGAACAGTTGGCATTAAAAGTTCTCTTGCTAGCCAATAAAGTGCCGTCTCAGAGTCGCCAGGGACTGATGAGCAACAGTGGAGATGGTCTCTATTCATAGGCTCTGCCAAATTACATAGGGGACAGTTTAGATGGTGAAAAATCCCAATTCAATAAAGATTATTCCAAAACGTCAAAGATATTTGAACGCCAATGTTGAGTGAGAATAAATTCCATTTAAGAAGTATCGAGAAACCAATAAAAAAAATTTTATCAACATTTTTGCTTCTAATTTATTTTAGAATTTAATACCTTATCTGCTTCAATAAAAAATTTTGTTACAACTTATTGAGTTATTAAAATTAAGTTCCTTTCTAAAATAATTAATTGAAACACAGATATGCTTATTATTAAGGTTACATAGTTTGTATTTCGTTACAGGTATAGGTCTGACAGGAAGTATTACATTTCTTCCAACCATAGTAAAGAAATATTTCAACAAAAATATTAACTCAGCAAATGGAATCTCTCAAGCTGGATCATGTTTGGGAGCATTTCTTGTTCCACCCCTTGCTGTATTCCTTCTGGACAAATATGGTTTACCTGGAACGTTTTTAATTGTATCAGCACTTATGCTTCATGCGGTGCCAATCAGCATGCTCATCCAAAAAGCAGGTTTAGCACAAGATAAAATCATTGAAACTATGAAAAGGAATAACGAGCTTGTCCATCAAGAGAAGATAAGTGCAAAAAATCAAAAATCTCCCCTTGACTCGAATAATAGTACTTCGGAGAAAATATCTATAAACAATCAAACAACTCTTTCTGACTCAGCTAACAAACTGACAGAGATGAGAGTAAACAATCAGAAATCTCTTCCTGATTCAGCAGAGCATATTAATACATCAGAGCGGATTCCTATAAACAATTATAAACTTCTCCCTGATTCAGAAGATGATAATATATCAGAGCAGCTTTCTATAAACAATCAGAAACCTCTTCCAGATTTTGTTACTAAGATATCAGAGCCGTCTAGAAGATTCAATGATTATGATCTAAGTAAAGAACAACACGATGGTATTAAAGATAATTATAGTTCAGATACCTCTAAACTCTCCCTACAGTCTCACGTGTACAATCAATCAGCTTTAGAAAAAAGTTGCCCAAGTATCAGCCATGTAGGCAATGAGATTCGCGAGACTAATGCATTAAATCATGGTGCTGAAATATCAAATATATTGGAAATAAATGAAGCTCTTCTACACCCTCAAGATTGCAGTGGTGATTCTGATAGCGACGATGCTGTCAAAACAAGCCTTCTTCCAGAAATGAAGACGGTTTCGTACCTACATTCCGATTTAGAAAATGATTCAAAACTACCTGATATGACACAATATAAACAAATGATTACAACTTGCGTGGTTGCACCGATAGAGAATAATCCAGAAGTGTCAGCGATTTCAAACAGGTCACACAATCCAAAACCACACAAAAAAAGTAAATTTGCATTTCTTAAAGTGTTTCTGAACCTCCCCTTTTTAATTATAATGTTTTGCACTGGTATACATAATTATGTGACAGTTCTAGTGACGACGACAATGATTGATTACTCACGAGACAAAGGAATACCAAGATATAATGAAGTCTATTTTTTAATGATGCATCCATTTGTTGAAATCATTGGCCGTGTCAGCTTCGGTTGGGTGACAGACTTAGGGTATTTAACATTATCTAATTACTCAGTGATATGTTTTAGTCTTATGGGTCTTACATGTAGTTGTATTTTGTGGTCTGCAGACTTTTGGGTGATGATGTTGGGAGCATTGACTTTTGCTATATCGTGTGGTGCCTTGACTGCTATATTTCCAGGCATGGTATTTAGTTGTGTTCCCGAGGAGATGCAGTCGANAGTTCAGATACTTCTAAACTTTCCCTACAGTCTCACGTGTACAATCAATCAGCTTTAGAAAAAAGTTGCCCAAGTATCAGCAATGTAGGCAATGAGAATCGCGAGACTAATGCATTAAATCATGGTGCTGAAATATCAAATATAATGGAAATAAATGAAGCTCTTCTACAGCCTCAAGATTGCAGTGGTGATTCTGATAGCGACGATGCTGTAAAAACAAGCCTTCTTCCAGAAATGAAGACGGTTTCGTACATACATTCCGATTTAGAAAATGATTCAAAACTACCTGATGTGACACAATATAAACAAATGATTACAACTTGCGTGGTTGCACCTATAGAGAATAATCCAGAAGTGTCAGCGATTTCAAACAGGTCACACAATCCAAAACCACACAAAAAAAGTAAATTTGCATTTCTTAAAGTGTTTTTGAACCTCCCCTTTTTAATTATAATGTTTTGCACTGGTATACATAATTATGTGACAGTTCTAGTGACGACGACAATGATTGATTACTCACGAGACAAAGGAATACCAAGATATAATGAAGTCTATTTTTTAATGATGCATCCATTTTTTGAAATCATTGGCCGTGTCAGCTTCGGTTGGGTGACAGACTTAGGGTATTTAACATTATCTAATTACTCGGTGATATGTTTTAGTCTTATGGGTCTTACATGTAGTTGTATTTTGTGGTCTGCAGACTTTTGGGTGATGATGTTGGGAGCATTGACTTTTGCTATATCGTGTGGTGCCTTGACTGCTGTATTTCCAGGCATGGTATTTAGTTGCGTTCCCGAGGAGATGCAGTCGATGGCTATAGCTTCAAGATATGTATTAAGTGGACCTCTAATCTTCACATCTGCTCCATTAATAGGTAAAATAGACATATGTTGCTTTCCATATAGCAATAATTAAATTTATCTATCTAAAAAAAATCCTCGATCAAAAAAATTAAAATAATAGAGAAATAGCAAAGACAATATTCTTGTTTTTCTTTTTTTAATATTAAACTTATACGATTTTTTTCGTAAAGCCATTTTCAGAAAGGTATTTCAGAATTATTCAAAAAACTATTCGAAATTACTAGCCATATACGTTTACTGCTTTTAATTCAAAAAATAATTTTTTTAGTTCTAACAGATGTCAAGTCCTATTCTATCCAATCTAGTATCTATATATTTTCAAAGAAACTCTTAACAAAAAAATAAACAACGAAAAAAATTAATTCAAAAATTTTACACGGAATCCGGGACAGTGAGGAAAAAAAGAAATGTCCTTCTTTTATTTTAAGGAGAATATGTGTATTACCTGTGTCGTAATATCATAAGGATGTCACCTTAACTACATTGCTAGTCAGGAAGAGTAAGGTGAAGAACACTTTTAACTAATAGTAAAAATTAGCCATTGATGTTATGCGCCAGGGGTGGCCAAGCTCCTTGATAGTCGAGCCATTTTTCAAAATTTGAAATTTTTCGAGAGCCGCAATTAAATACGTATTTAAAAGGTATGAGAAAAATACAGAAATTATATTTGTTAAAAACATATAAATAACATTACAAAATATGTGCATTGAATTTAAATATTAAAAATTAAACTCATTTGTTTTACTTCCTTTCGATAACTCTTTAAAATTTGGAGAATAATTGGTGACAGCACTTCTCAGTAATTCTTTTAAATGCTCGTTAGTTATTACTGATCGGTGTTTGGATTTCACGAATAAAATTTGAAATAAAATGATTCACATAAGTATGTTGCTCCGAATATGGAAATAATTCGACTATACAATATAAACTAAATATACAATGTGAGATATTATTTTATCTTTCCCCTGCAATTGTAAATTCAGGGTTTGCAAATGTTCCAAGACATCAGTTAAAAACAATGTCCGGTAACCACTCGTCATCGTCTAATTCTGAATAGGTTATTTCTTTTTCTTTTAGAAATGCAGTTATCGGATCAAGCAAATCTACAAAACAATTTAATACGTTGGAGCTAGATAACCATCTAACAATGCAAAAGAAATTAATGTCGTTTGGAAGTTCTTCGTCCTTTAATTCCTTAAGGAAAATTTTGAATTGTCGATGATTTTTTGAATTACGGCGAATGTAATTTACAATGTGTAACACTGTTTTTATAACATCANTTCAAAAAAGTATACATATGCTAGATGTTAAGAACGTATCCAATGAGTGAGCATTGGATTGCGAAGCAATCCGAAATGAACTGCGAAAGCAGTTTCGGGGGTTGGCGAGCGCCAGCGAGTAGGGGGCGAAGCTTCCTAGTTTTAAATAATTTGTAACGAGATGTTCTCGGTGAATTATGCAGTAACTCGGTTTGAATTGAGGAATTTGAGAATCATCTTTTAAAATCAAAATAAGACCGATTTTTTTACCCAGCATTACCTTAGCTCCATTAGTTTTAGTGCTTACAAGTTTATTAAAAGGCGCATCCAATGTTTTCATTATGGAATCTAATGCATTTTTAATATCGACACTACGGGTTGACTTTTGCAGTGCTACTAAATCTAATAATTCTTCTTTAACAACGAAGTCAGGTGAAACAAAACGTATGAAAACTGCCAATTGCGGAAGATCTGTCCATTCGTAAAGGAACGATAATAATTTTTTAAAAATATAAAGCACAAAAATGAAAAGGGAACTCGGGTTCATTTATCGGAAGCCACAAATAATCCTTCAAAGAGCCGCAGGTTGGCCACCCCTGTTATATGCTGACTGCATAAAACAAAATTATAGTACGCCCAAACTTACATTTAAAGAGTTTAAAAGCCAGCTGTTGAAATACATACAAATAGTTTTTTACTAACAATATTTCAACAGCACGTATTATTATAAAACTTAATGGAAATTTTAAATAATTATCAGGTAAACATATGTTATCACTTGGGTACATGCAACTCTAGAAAAAGTGAAATGTCCAACCATGTAATTTAAATCAAATGTAAATGGATACCTGTAAGTGAAGTCACGCATGCATATCGCACCAGACTGGCTTATTAATCAACGAACGCCACGATTAACTTACGATGACATCACTTGCAGGCATCCAATAAATTCTTTTGGTTGAAACTAATAATACAAATGTAATTTATGTGAAAATACAAATATAATAATCTTCATTTGTTTCAAAACTTTCTGTAAACATTGTATAATAGTATTAAAATACTTATCACTGTCCTCATGTTGAATAACGAAGTCATATAAATAATACGTAATTGTTTTTCAGGATTTTTCAGAGAAACTCGTGGATCATATGATGGAATTTACATCTTGTTAATAGCTTTGTGCATGCTGTGCGCTGTTGCAATGCCTTTGTTGCACAGATTTTCCCAACGTGGCAAAAAAAGTAGAGACATGAGAATGATTTTGAAACTGCAGAACATATAATAAAAATATTCGAACATACTATTTTTTCCAGGTGCTAATGATTAGAGACTTAGACATGAACTCTAAAACGGTGTACTGATTTTTTCCAAAGTCAGACCATTTTCTTGGAAAGCAGGTTTCCCCCCTAATAATAGTAATTTAATGAAAATATTTCAAACATTTTATTGAAAAGAGAAAGAGACACACAGTTTTCTTTTTAAAGTGATGGAGAAATTGTTCATGTACTAAACCAATACACAAATAGTAAGCAAACATTTTTTTTTTAATTACAGTTCATGGCCATATTATTAGACAAACTATAAGATTCTATGTAAAATCTTAATTACCAAGTGATACTATACAGCTTTAATGTTTTTACGCGACTGTAAACGGTTTCCACTTATTTATGTTTGTGTATCAATTGTTTACATTCGACGATATATAATATAAATTAGACGATATATTACATAAATATAGAATATATATTATATCAGGTATTATATTAATAAATTATAATAATTAGATCAAATATTAGACTCAATGTGATTTTTTAATAAATACATGTTTTGCGCGAGTTTATATGCAATACTTTTATATTCAAACATACATGTAATTGGCTTTTATTCAGGAGATTTTTTATATACTTCAGATTTTTATTTATTTTTAAGGTATTTCATTACCAAGTTAACCAATAGATACACGAAAGTAAACAAGTGCAAACCATTTTCAGTCGCGGTAAAATAATAAAGCTGTATAGAATCACCTGATGATTAAGATTTTACATAGAATGTTATGGAATCTTATAGCGCGTCGAATATTTCGGCCAGGGGCTGTATTTAATTTCATGATATCTGTATGATTTTGTATTATTTTATTCATTTACTCAAACCATTGTTTGTATTGTTTTTATTTAATGCTACGATAATTTTTATAAATCTATAAAATAAAGTATTTAGAATGATTTGCTTTAATTCGGTGTCATTTACAAATATTTTATTTTTTAGAATACTTATGCTTTCTTAACATCCACATCGTTTTGTTAAAAATTCCATTGCATTAAAACAAGAGTGTTATAAACATTAAAAAAATTAGTTTAAAAATATAAGTCAAAGGTTTCGTCAAACAATGTATTCTGCAGAAATAAGTTAACTATCAGATTGCAAAGATACTAGTTCATTCCTTCTACGGTGATCAATCGTATGCTCCTGCGAATTTGCAATCTTTAAAATGGAAACTTAATTAAAAATTTAAGGACTTTTCTATTTTTGTTCTTCCAACTTTGTGAAAGAACGATTTCTAACTTTTCGAATTTAAATACTGCATAGGAACGCATGCCTGTAAACGTTGTTTCATTTCCCTATTATGACCTGTTTTCAAGCACACGAACAGTTCGTAATAGAGACATTCCCTTAGCGCAGTATAAAGTATTTCCGGGCACGGGTTCCTATGCTCTCCACTCCCCCAGAAGTTGGTTGCCACATTTATGTATCACGTTTTCAATTTTGTACATTTTGACAAAAATAGACTAAAAATGTCATTTGGAAAAAAACTGTGGCTTGGAGCAAAGAAACTGATTTGAAATCAGCGATGTGAAAATATTCAAGATCCCTTAAAAAAATTCTTATGCACACAAAAAAAAAATATTGTTTCCAGGTGTAATCATTTAATATTTTTTATGACTATAACGACCGTACGTTCTTTTGTTCACAAGGTCATTTTTATTTTATTTTAAACGGTTATTTTTCAGATAGTATATAAATAAGGATTTTGGTGTGTTTATAATTAAAACGGATCATTAAAGATACTTATTTAGTAATACAATAAATTGAATGTAACAAGAATTAATACAAAAAGTCACGTACATAACATCTAACTATACGAGTACAACGTCAACGTAAGCACTGCTTATACTAATCTAAAAATAAAAAAAAGCAAACAGTTCTTGTTCGTTTTTACCCCTCGGGGGGGGGGGGGTCTGTTACAAGTTTTATTTTTCATTTTTATAGAACTGAATCTTCATAAAAATTTTATAACAAGTTCGCTTCACAATGAGAATTGTTATAATGAACGATTTTAGATATAATAAAGTAAGAATGAGGAATGTAAGCAAACCAATCAATGGATCAGTGAATAGTTTTTTTTTTACAAAGAGTCAGCAATATATAACTGTGAATTTGTTTACGGGCAAGTCAATAAAGGGCATTTTAATGAATAGTCGGATCAGTGAATGAGTTTATAAATGCATAAAATTTTTTATAAACTTACAAATTATTTTAAAAAATGAAAAATTGCTGTATTAACTGCCGTTAAACAATTTATAACAAAATGGCGACATATTGAATGCAAAATACGACAGCAATTTTTATCAAACATGAAACAGCAAAAATAATTAGTTTTGCAGAGTCTTTTAAAACTGTTTGTTTGCCACTGTTGTATCAAAAAAAAATAAATTTTAATGTTTATGCTTATTTATTTGCACGTCATATAAGATTATAGTCATTAAAAGCATTACCCGCTATAAATATTTATTCTAGAAAAATTAAGGTGAAATTCTCATTAACTAAACTACCGGCTTTCTTTCTAGCATTGAATACGTTAATTGTTAATTATGTTGTTCTCGTGCTCCCTAAGCGAGCAGTTTGGGTTGTTATAGAAAAAAGAATTTCTTACTATATATAAAATTCTAATGATGGTGTCGCAGTTTTCCATTGTTGTCGGTGCATTTTTATTGGCCAGAAAATCACGTGGTAGGATCCAGTTTTCCCTCATTCATTTCCGTATTATTTTGGTTGTCATCAGCATAAAATTAACAGCAGTAGTAAAGGTATTGTTTTCCTTTAAATATTTTTGTATCCCTAATTTAAACTTATTTTCCAGCACTGCTATTATTAACCAGAATATGGTTGTGACTCATCAAATTTGTTTGAACAATATAAGGTTGCAAAAATATAAATGTTATTTTAAAGAATGATTACTTCGAAAAATCACTTCCGTTCACCAAGAGATCTAAATGTTTATAATACTAATAGATAGTAATATTTGGACGTGGGAAGTAGAGGCACAAGAGTAAGCAAACAGAATTCCTTTTAGTACATATATGTTAAGTGAATAATTTTAACTTTAGTAGAAAAACTGTTTTCTGCCAAGAAAAGACAATTATTGCGAAGCAATAATCGGGGTTGGTGAGCGACAGCGAACAGGGGGCATAGCCCCCTAGTATAAAATAAAAAATTAATGAATTTTCTACAGCGTTATGACTACATCTGCGAAACAATTCAAGTTATTTTTTTTTTAAAGAATCAGATATTTTTTCTTTCAAAATTGTGTTTAAAAGGAGTCGTTTTCAGTATCACCCTTAGCGCAAAAACGTCTTTCACAGTAATTTTTTAAAATTTATTTAAATGTTTTTTTTTTCACCGTCCAAATAATAAAGTGAGTGCAGTTAATCAACATTAATTAATTTACTGCACTAACTAATGCTGGTCAGCATTGCTTGATATTATCAATAAACTAATGCTGACCGCGGGCTGTGTAGAGATCAGGAGACTGGCCTTACATCAGAAAAGTTCTGGGTTCGAGCAAGACATGGATATTCTTTTATTCTCAGCACTATCTGTCCTTACTGTGAGAGCAACGTTGGCTTACCTAATATGGTGCCCCAGAAAGAGTGGTCAACAAATCTGCCCTTCAGATGTCTGTATGATTTAGGTCATTCTCCACATGGGCATTTGAAAAAAATATATATAATCAATCACTTTAAAAACTATAATACAAAGAAACAAATGGGGTAAAATGTTATTACAATTAAGGAAATTAACATGTCCTTTTTCGACAACTAAAGAAACAAGTCCAAATTATCATCTAATTAATTGATAGAATAAGAGAAACAAAGTTTTATTACTTTAAAGGTACTGAATCTGTTGATGTGCCCAATCACACCAAGGGTATAGTTGAGTTGGAACGCGCTGGTAAGACGTTTCGGTACTTTTTAGTCAGGCGGAAATTTAGTTCCGAGAGTTTGATGAACATATTACTAACTTTGAATTTATAATCTTAACTTTTTATGAAAAAAAGATGCTTTAGCTTACTATCTTTAAACTGAAATTTTATTTTATTCTCATATCATATTATTCTGTTTTATTCTAATATAGTTCCTTTTAGGTAGTTGGGTACCAGGGTAGTGATTTCATGCTTCGTAAAGAATTTAGTATGAATATATTTTAAATTGCTCAAAGCAGTTCGATGAATAAGTTTTATTAATAAATAATTTAAAAGTTCATGCTTTCGTACATTATAAATAAATTTTTAACTTAGAAAAAGTAAATGTTCAAATAAATTAATTTGAACTGTTTTGGGGGAAATACAGAGATAAACTATCGGAACTGCAATAAAATAAAAATAAGTAAACTTGAGTAAAAGAAAAAAGAAGCTTATATAACTTCAAATAATTTGATAATTGTAGATCAAAAATTTTTTTTGATAATTTTTTATTCTACCCACAACCCTCTCCCTACGATAGAATGACTTGCATAGTGATTAAATAAAATTTTAGTATAATAACAATAGCTCAAATGATGCGGGTTTATGATGGTCTAAAAAATATTGATTTCAAATTACAAAGTTGGGAAATAAAATTTTAAATTGTTCTTTGTAACGTAATTAAGCCATATTTAGTTTCCCCCTACGTATGCAGATGCCTATGAGGGATCCTTTGTTTCAATTTACTGTTAGGGCATCAATTAGACATGTACTGTGGGGTAAACGCGGTATACCATGAAAAACTTTTCATCTAATGATCGGATTTTTCACGTACTAAGACTCAATTTTAATGGTTTTGGAGCCCCACTTTAAATATGCTAAATAATTAGTGCAGACTATATTAAGTTACAAAATCAGACACTAAAACGTACTTTATCTGAAAAAACCTGACTTTTTTTCCGACAGGGTTGAATTGCTGACTCTTAAAATATGGGTGAGAGCCGCAATTTGAGAAACATAGCCCCAATTGCTTGATCATGAGAGCTATCGAAAGTTTGGATCCTTTAACGTTAATTTTATTTTTTGCGTATTTTTCCATATCTCGATAGGTGACCTCAAATATGCAAATTAATTAGTGCAATTAATTATTATAAATTAATTATTTTAAGTTACGAAACATGACACTATAAAAGGTTCTTTCTCTGAATAAATTTTTTTTTCCGCATTACTGACCCTAAAAATAGGATGGGGGGTTTGTCGCAATTTGAGAGATAGGGTCTCAATAATTAGGTCATGACAGCTGTCGAAATTTTGGACTCATTGCGCAAT